AATTTTGTAATTTAACAGGAGGGTGATAGTTGTAGTTAACGAGACAAGGTAGAGTATAGGGAGGGGTTAATTTCATATTTCTCTTAAGCATGCTTTATATTGGGGTAGGAGGAGTGACCGAACCGTGACCTATTTAGAAGGTTAACTTAACGGAAATGATATATAGGAATGGGAGGGTAGTGGGGGGAAAAGAAAAGAAAAAAGAGAGGAGATAGACAACAGTAATACAGATATATCTAAATGAGTGTTACGGCAAAGAGAGAGGGGGAGAAGGAAGTGAATCGAAAGAGGCTGTAATTTTGTTTTAACAAAATTGTATAAAAGATAGATTTCAATGCTTGATAGAAATTTAGATGTCTAAAAAATGATGAATGTTATCAATTTAAACATTTAATTTTTTAAGTAAATAGTTTAGAGACTTAATATAAGTTAACTACTATTTTTATTAGCACATTTATCGAGAACATATTAAAGAAATATTTAAAACTATAATAGTTTATTTACCCGACCAATTGTACTTCCATAATATTGTAAAAGATATTCGGTAACAATAACATCTATATTAGTTTTACTTTAAATCTAATTTATGAATGTAATTTTTCTTTATTATTATATGGGTAAACTTAATTAAGGTTTAGGTTTCATTATTTAATAATATTTGAGGGTAATATTAAAGATTTTGTTTTCTTCTCATATGTATCTCACAAACACATTCATGCAAATCCATATATACATACGTCCATTTACATGTGCAAATGCACACACACACACAAACATATATATATATATATATATATATATATGTTTGTGTGTGTGTGCGTGTGTAGTCACAACTTAAACAAATTTAATCCAATGAAGTCCTAAAGAACAAAACATCACACCAAAAACATTTTCCACTTTCTCATCAACTAATTCCATCAAAAAATCATTAGTAATCAGAATAAGTTCCTTTAAAAATAAAATGTGTTATGAAAGTTTTTCCTTTTATTTAATTAATTTATCCACTTTTAGTCTGATATACATACACACGCACACACACATGCGTGTGCATACATACAAACATGCATATACACATGCACACACACGTGTGTGTGCATACATACAAACATGCATATACACACACACACATACAGGTATACATATATATATATTTAGGAACATCTATAACAAAGCGTAAAAAGATTTTTCGTGTGACATATTACATCCTTTATTGAACTGATGTTGACATTTGATGTGGTTAGGCATGAACATGAAGGAGAGGGAATGCTGAAATTTTAAACTCAAATTCAAATTTAAAACAAAGCAATATCTGTTTGGATACATAGTCTAACTGCTATCATTTAGTTACCAAAACAGATGAAACGTTGTGATAACAACAACAAAGATAATCACTATTAATTTCAAACAAATGTTTGAAGCCACCTCCAGAATTAGCATGGGATGACCTTGACAGAAGAATGAAAGAAAATATGAAGAAGTGATCTTAGAGTCATTGAAAAAGGAATGGAATTATCAAACTTATACTTTGAGAAGCTTTTGTAATGAATGGTAAAAATTTGTGCTGCAGCAATTAAGACTAAAGGAGGATATTTTGATGAGAGCAAAATTTAATCATAATTTTTCATAAAACAGTTTCTAATAAAAAATCATGTCTCACTTTAATTTAACCATGTATATATCATATTATAATGATATAATGTGAATGTCAGTGTGTCATTGTGTCACACTTTTTCAACTTTACTCAAAAAGGTTGTAGCCCAACATATCCTACCATTTTGGAATCAGGCTGACTCCAAGAGCAAATTAAAAACATTCCGGGCTGGATCTGGACCCACAATTCTGAAATTTTGGATTACCAAGTTTTCATTATTCTAATAAGAAAATTATGTCTCACTTTTTTTAGCCATATATAATAAATTTATTTAAAGTACAAAACAATTATTTTGGGGGTCAATTTAAAAAATTAACAGGGTACCCTCAAACTTTTGAACTGTAGTAAATATATGCATATAATAAAACAGTGTTTCAAATATCTGGATGACCAGTACCTTGGCAGGTGATTTCTCCTCTGACTTAACTGTCACATAGGAGAAAAAACTGTCTTTAATACAAAACAAAGCTAATAACAATTCACTATCAGTGAGTAGAGTCTAAGTTTGTCCCAAACCTGAGGAACAATCAGAGTCTCAATGAGATTCCATGCTTTGAACACCTATTGAGTCTAAAGCCCAATCCAGATCTCAAATGGAACTCATATATTCTTGCCATCATTAAAGATGCTGGAACAACGGCTGATTCCTTGTATTGCTCAAACTCTTGATGCTATGCTTTATCTTTCAAAAGAATTAGATCACAGACCAAGAATGGCATATTGCTGCCACATCTGGGCTAGCACTGCCCAGTCCTCATTATCCAGCCTCAAGTTTAAAAGGTTCACAGAGTTCAAAAGCATTTATGCTGCTTTGTGGGTAATAAATTACTTTCCAACCTGCAATTCTTA